GGTCTATTTAAATCATTTATTTCATCTTGCTTTAATTCTGATGTATGCTATATATATGTAGAACGTCATCCACTTCTATTAGAGATCTCTGTTAAGTGGAATAGGATTTTTATTTTTTTATTTTCATTTTGTGTGTATGAGTGCTATGCCTGCATGTTTGTAAGTGTACCTGTGCTGTGCAATGCCAATGGAAGACAGAAGAGGTTGTTCAATCCACTGGAACTGGAGTTACAGACAGTTGTTAGTCACCATATGGGTACTGTGAATTGAACCCATGTCCTCTGCAAGAACAGCCAGTGCTCTTAACCGCTGAAACATCTGGCACATATATTTTTAAAATATCTCTTTATAATTTTCCAAATTTCCTCTGGGTATGTCGCAAGTGTTTCCGTTTTCATTTCTGATTCTATTATTTTGGTGTTTCTCTTTTGATTAATTTGACTAAAGGTTTGTTAATCCTGTTAATGTATAAATGGAGTAAGAATCACTTACTAAAGTGGGCTTTGCTATATGGTTTAAGCTCTTACACTAATAGTCTATTGCAGAATGCGTGTATTTTACTCAATTATGTTTGTAGCATTCCAATTATGAAGCAAGTATTCAACGTCTAGGGTTAATTACAATTTCCTTAACAAATGCATGGTAACCAGGATACTTCTCATCTTGAAGGAAAAGAATAACACATAGCACTAGGGCCTAGGTCAACCAAGAAATTTATGCTATTGTATATAACCTATATGCTTCGACTCTGTCTTTCAGGAAGATTTCATTTTGTCAACTACAAAAACACTGATAATCTTCGGTTTTCAATGTAAAGACTGTTTTCATCACCAAGAAAGATTTTTTTTTTAATGTATGCTTGTGAGTTTTATATCTTAAGAAAAAGAGAAACCGTGGAAGAAAGCTTTATTCAGTTCTCAAACAGTGGAGAAGCTGGACCATTATTTACGAAGTACCCTATTAACATGAGGAAACTGAGGAGACAGAAGTTTGTTTGGAATGATCATGAGTGCAAACAGACTGACAACAGAAAAGTGTCTGGGTATATCTTGAGATCCTCCAGGAACCTGGGTGCCACCTCATTGGCCCTTCTTTTAATTTTATATTTCTATTCATGATTCATGGTAGGTTTCTTTAGGTATTAGGGATTGAAAATAGTCTATGACTAAAGCTAAATTTAGCCTACCTTTTTTGATCAAAGCGTTTCTCGATGTCTATGAGGTTAAAATCATGATTCACAAGTTAAACAGTGCAGAGATAAAAATGCAAGAACAAAATCAGGAATTTTTCCCAGCAACGATTTCCCTGGATGTTCTACATTTTATTTTAAAAGAGTACATAGTTTCATTTAGTAAAGTTCATTGTTATTTATTTTGATAAGCTCATGCCAAGAGCAAACCTTCATGTTAAACAGCCATTTCTTCTTTTGTTGTTGTTTATGTATGCTCATGTGTGTTTGTGTGTGTGCGTATATGGGTGTGTGTGTGGGGGGTGTGTGCACGTGCGTCTTAGTGCCATGGAGGCCAAAAGAGGGCATCAAATCCCCTAAAGCTGGAATTTCAGGCAGTTTTATACCATGCTGTGGGGATACTGGGAACTGATTTCAGGTTCTCTGTTAGCAACAAGTGCTCTTAATTACTGAGCCATCTCTCTAGTCCTATGACCACAATTTCTTCATTTATATTTCTATAGGTGGGTTCTTTGGATAGGGAATCAAATAATGACTTCTTTTTGGTTTCTCTGTGTATTTCCACCTGGCGAATAATGCTGGTGACTGGTCAGAACAACCTGCATGATCCCACCAACTGGCAAAGGTTTATGTATTGCATTACAACATGGCAAGAAGCAGCCATATGTGGCAAGAATACATGTGTGTTAGAATGCAAGCAAGATAGTGATGAAGAAAACCTTATTTACCCCTATTTGCTACATAACTACCTGTTCTAATGAAAATTCATTTTGTTCCACTAGAGTTGATATATATCTTAGGGTTCATAAGTATCTTCGGAGTGTGAGACCCGACGACCACACCTCACTTTCAATTCTCTCGAGAACTCACTTTTAGAAAATAAATCATGATTAATGAAGTTATTTGGAAATACTATAATTTGCTTTGTTACTAGATAAAATCAATGGTACTCAGTACTATCTGAATTCCAAATCGCCTTTTTAGTTGTTTTATTTTAAAATTATTTTGTTGATTCTCTGCAAATATAATGCAAATATTTATTTGAGCGTGTTTAGCCCCTCCCCGATCTCCACATTTGTCTTACTACACTAGACTTCATGTCTCCTGTTATTTTTCAAAGGACTATCCAGTCTAATTTGTGCTCCCTAAATGCTCTTGGAGGTGGGTCTATCCCTTGAAGTCTGTTCAACCTACCTGGCATAACACCATTAAAGAGAAAAAACTCTCTTTCCCCCATTAGCTCTCACGTGCCAGTAGAACCTCAGCGGGGCCTGAGGACTCTTGCTCACCTCACCCATTCACGCTGTGGCTTTGTCTGGCCAGGGCTTGCAGAGGTGTTTTACATACTGTCACACTCGCTCTGATTTCATATGTGGAACTTCCCTGTTTTCTTTAGACAACACTGTTTTCTTGTATTCAGCCACCCTGCTTGGCACTCACGCTCTTATCCAACACGTCTGCATACCTGGTGTGTCCCAGAGGCCTGATTCCTCCAAGGGGCGGGGCCTGCTGTGGAGAATTGACTGCAGAGGGGCTTCTGGGGGCCATCTTGTGAAGGAAGCCATGAACGCTGGTGGCAGCAGTTGTGGAGAGAAAGATACCCCAGCGTCTCACCCATGTGGATGGGAGGGGGGCATTTATCAACCTGGGGTGAGACTGCAGGCCCAAGATGCATGGTTGAAACTTAACGGAGACTGTGGGCAGGCGTGGAAGTGATAGGAGCCGAGCCACATGCCAGGGGTGCATCTCCTTGTAGGTTTCCCCCATTTACCCCCTCCCTACCCAAGGGCATAAACCATAATAAATTCACATAAAAATACGTTGTATGGTTTGTCTGATCATGCAAGAGACCCTGAGAGAACTCGGGCAACACCTGGGTCTTGGGAAGAGAGGTTGTGATACAAATATCACAGTTACAGCTTATCACTCTCCAGTCTCTTATTCTCACATTGACTAGATATGGATCTCTGTGTTAATTTTCATCAGCTGCTGAAAAATCTTCCTGCTACCGTTGAGGGATGCACTGGAATGAAGGTACCACTCTGGTCCTGACCTCAAAATTTCATAGCTACTGGTTAGCTTTCATAGTGCTGTAAGTGGCTATGCTTGAAGAGAAAAGGAGCCTTACCCAGCTGGGAAGCTCGTAACAACAATAACACCTGAAATGGCAAGGTGTGCCCAGTGGTAACACAGTGGCATGAATGTTCTAGGAGCCAACAGCCAGTTTCCCATTAGATTTGAAACTCAGGTCACAAGACAGTGCACATAAATAACAGCCTTATCACTGTTATCAGGGCCAAGAATGTCAGACTGTCAGACCACAAGCCATAGGGGAGAAGTTACTCTGAGTAATCAGCTAAATGGACATCTATTAAACTGACATCTAATGACTTGTTACGCACGTAGACAGAAATCTTCTTCATCCTCGACTGCACAAAATATTCTTACATAAGACAGGATAAAGAAATAAAAATCTGTATTTGTGGACTTCATCACATTTAAATGTTCTCTTTGAAATACAGCATAAAGATAAGGAAATGGCTACCAGCAACCTAAGAGAAAATATATGTGATGAAAGACCAAAATCTATGCTTTATAAAGATGAGTTCAAGCTGAATAATAAAATGCTAAATCAAATGAAAGAATTGATGCATTTTTGAGAAATGATACACGAAAGTCAAACATATGAAAAAAGTTCAACATTGTTAGGTGATAGGAAGACATTAAAATCACAGTAAGACATGATTTCACCCTAACTGGAATGGACAAAATGAACTGAGTTCTATTTTTTAATAATGGCTAAATTTTCACCCACAAGAAAAGACGATTTTTCTTAGACGTGATGTGCACATTCTAGTACACAAGAATGCTTCTCAAGAGTCATACTCAGTACCCATTGCTGTATAAGCAACACAGATGAACTTCAAAACTGTTATGTTCCACTTGAGAATGCTACATGTAATAGTCCAATTTGCATTACTGCCAGCACACGGTATTTTAGAAATCCAAGCATTGTATAGAGTTACCAAAAGCAGGTAAGCAGTTGTGGTGGAAAAGATTCATGCGGGGAGATGGGAACACAAATGACATTGATGTTGAGGGTCATATAAGCTTCACATATCATCAAAACTTTAAAGATGGAGTTTTCCATATTTTCCTGTGTATAAGTTATACTTAATGATGTACTTTAAAAGGCACGTAATAAAATATGCATGCACATGCTTGTAAAATTGCTAAAAATAAAAGTCAATGGTTTATGTGCAGTTATTCACATTAAACAATTAATCTTTAAAATATCTCCATTTTATCCATGATAGTAAAAGCCATATATATAAACTCCCTCTAGTTATATTCTAAATAAACTTTCTTTTTTCTTACTTAAATTCACTAACTAAATAGTGTACATGTCATAATAAAATAATTATCTCAAATATCTATACACAGTGAGTTACTTAGAACTGAATTGCCCACCAATGGTTTCAGGGTTTATAATTAAAATCTAGGTATAGTAGATGTCAACCAGTCTAGAAGTCTGAAGGAATTTCCTCAGGTAAGTACCAATTTTTGGATGGTAGTAAAATACACATTGTGATTATTCTGTTACGTAAGATGATATCGTAGCTACAACTCATGTGTTCTTATTAAAGCTGTATATATATAATAGATTTAGTTTGTTTTATACTTTCTTTTTTTCTTATTTTTTGTGTGGGTTTTGAACCTGGGGCCTGTTCATGTCTTCCTAGATTTTCACCAAGTCAATCACATACCCTTAAAAATATATTGTCTGAATTCCTTAAGGAACTATGTGCTTCTAATGTTTTAGCCAATACATCATCTTCCTTAGCACCAAAAGACAGGCCTGCCTTAATTTAGGATTTCCTAACATCAAGATAAATGAGTGACCTGAGGGGTAGAAGAGCCCAAGAGTCAGGCAAAGCATGTGGCCTATTCTATTCTGATGGGTTTTAGAGAGCCATGATATAAAAAGTGACATGAAGTAGGTGGCATAGAGCAGCAGAAATGAGACGATAATTCTCAGGGCACTCTTGTGGGCCTTGGTACTGGGGTCTCTGTGTCCTATGGAATTGAACTTCATCTTCTGGAGATGTATCCACAGGGAGTAGATTAGCAGGAGAAAAGAGACCAGGGCCACTGTAAATGGTACCAGGGAGAACACAATCGTCGTGAATATGGCCAGCTCTGAAAACCTTGCAAAGGCACTTACTTTGACATTCCAAGTCGTGTTTGTCTCATATTGACGCATCCAGTCTTCCGTATACTTGTTCATCTGTATTACATTGAACAGCAAGAAGACCAAGTTTCCCAAAAGGATCATCACAAGCACTTTCTTTACTCTCCACTTCAGATAGAGAAAAACAGGCCTGGAGAAACTGGCTATTTTGAGCAAATAAAAGATGCTGAGGATGGTAGCAAGCCAGAGACTGAAGTGATTGGAGAAAACCCAGGAAAGAATAATAGCTCTTAATTCTGTTCCCACCATAAATGAAAATGAATACTTCAGCACTTTCAACCAACTTAGGAACATTTCCCAGATCAGACCAACTCTAGAAAGCGCCAAGAATACCAGGATTTGATCACCTAAGGAAAGCTTTCTTTTCAATACATAGTCCATGAAGTTTATCAGCACTATGAATCCATTGCTAAGATTCCCAAATATGAACTCTGCAGCCACGATGACTGTGAAGATGCTATGCAGGGCACTTCCCATGTCCAGGCACAGAACACTCACTGCTGCTGGTTGTTTGCCAAATTAAAATGCTTTATGTGTTCAGAGATGCACAGCTAAGATTTTCTTCCTTTTCTTTCACATCTGTAATCGTTGACCTCATGTAAATGAGAGTATTGAAGGCTTGTTACTTACTCTGCAAATGTTCCTGTTAAGTCTTAAGTTTTCTCCAGTTTCTCTGTCAAGGCTGATATTATATTCTTACAAGAGGAGGGAATACAGAATACTTGGTTGTAAATTGCATTCAAATCACATTTGCTAATATGTAAATGAAGATGTCTTCTCTTTCATTGCTTTCTAGTATTTGCATTGTGTCTGCTCAAGAAACTTTGGTTCCAGTAGCTTTTGATTTCTGAGGGACAACAATTACTAAATTCTACTTCATTAAATTTGTAGGTAAATGTAGTATTTTGTTTTTAACATCATTGCCACTGAGATCATAGAAAACATTCATGAGTTCTCAAGAGCATTTGGTGAGTCTTCAGTTACTTATGGAGCATCTTTCAACATTTGAGATGCAGAAGAGCTCATGTACAGAACTTGTCTCCCACTCTCCTGCCTTTTGTCACTCTGAATGATTACATCCTTTCCCACTCAAGGCTTTTCACAACTCTGAGACCATATGTATTTACATCATATTTGCTTGCCTGCCACACACATTTCCTTTCCAAACAAAAGAATTTTTAAAAATACGTGGAAAAATTTTATGAGGAGCCAGTAATAAAATAGAATTACATTATGCTTACACATTTCAGAAATGAAATCCAAGGAAGAGATATATATTATGAAGAGACAGTATCCTCTCCCTTACACTCTCAAACAATACAGGAAAATGGAGGAGAGTCAGCAAAATCCTGACTAATCAGAGATTCAATGCATTCCTGTAAACAAACAATGTAGCTATATTTTGGCTGAAGGATATTAATATTTTATGTCATGAATACATAATTGAGGTTGCTTGTATAAGCATGGGTGAGCTTTGTTTCCTGGAGCAAGGATAATTGATCAATGTCTACATCATTGAACAAAATGTTTTGATTTCTTTCTGTTGCTGTGACAAATCATTTTGATTGAAAGCTGCTTGTAGAAGAAAGGTTTGATTTGCTATAAACTTCCAGATTAAAATCCATCATTGAGGGAATTAAGGGAAGGAACTCAACCAGGAACTGAAAAGGAAACCATAGAAGAATGTTGCTTTTCGTCACACTCTCAGGTTCATGCTCAGTCAGCTTTCTGACACAACCTTGGACCACCTGCTCAGGGGTAGCACCATTCACAGTGGTCTGGGTTTTCCCACATCAACCAATAAAATATTTTCCCACAGACAGGTCACTTAGCCAGTCCAATCTGATAGAGTAAATCCCTCAATTGAGGTTACTTCTTGGCAGATAGCTTTATGTTTTCATTGAGTTGACCCCCGAAACTAACTATGAAGACTCCCCTCTGCCAGCAGTCATCAACTGTTAATAGCTCCTCTGGTAGAAATGGTGACACATGAGTCCCTTAAACTTCAATGATGGAATATTGAAAGCACAATTTCATGCAGTTTTTTGCAGGTAACCATGTTTGCTATTAGTTGATATGTACAACAGCATTTCATGTCCAGGTGACAAGGTTTTTATAGCAAGTCTCCCCACCCTTTGACTCATATTCTTTGTCCCTCTTCCCTGATGCTCCCTGAGCCTTGGAGGGAGTGAAGTAAATGCCATGTGTATTGTGAGTGCTCAACAGATAGTTATTATCAGCACATTATCTACTTATGAGTTTCTGCTTTAACTACCTCCCTCTGCAAACAGATACTCCACCCACCCGCTTTCCACCATTCTTATGATAAAACAAGGTACAAAATCTCCAAAACCACAGTTTGGAAAACTCTAGAGAATTTCTTGGGCTTATTAATAGAGCAGGGAGGGGCCCGGGTGAGGGGCTACTTACAAAGGTGTGGGCACGAGAGGACTTTCTTCTACGTTTTGGCCAGGATCCTGTGACCTTCTGGCAGTACCCAAGATGGCAAAGGCCTCCCCTCTCTCTGGCTTCTTTTTACATATGTGAGGCTGCATTTGTAAATTATTGGCCCTGTTTCCTGTTGTCCCCCAGGTGGCTGGTTCCTCTGAAGGACAGGGCCTGTCTCTGGGGATGGACTACTGAGGGGCTGCTGGGAGCCATCTTGGGACAGAAACCACAACCTGCAGGTAGTGGGTGGTGGGTGGTGGGTAGTGACAGGTGTGGGGAACGAGCAGTAGTAGCAGCCAGGCATACACAAGGACAGAATGGCCTGGCACTTGTGGACCTGGGGCAAGACCACTCGCCCCTGAGGTGTGGGTGAAATCTAGTGGTAACTATTGACGTGGCAAGAGAGTGGTCTGATATGGCAGGCTCTGAGCCATGCCACTGGAGGTGCCTCCGGAGCTGAGTGGCACAGAGCTAGGCACTGGGTGCTGTTTCTTTGTTAAGTCACTCTCCTCTCACCCCCACACAATAATAAATGCACATAAAGACATGCTATATGGTTTGACTGATAGCTCAAGAGACCCCAAGAGAACTCTGGTAACAAAATTGGCACCACAGCCTTGGGGATGAGGGGAGGAGAAAGCAATGCTGTTCCCACTGCCTCTGTGGTGGGTCAGCTGGGCTCTGATTCCCAAATTCGGGAGCAGCTGACAAGAACCCAGAACGGAAGGCAGTCAAACCCTATACACTTAATGGGGTTAGTGATAGCCACATGGGTTATACAATGGATTATAAAATTTGTAACTAAAAAGAGGCCAGCCACACAGAAGCATGGGCCACAGCCATGTTGTAAATCTGGGGATATGTTGCAGGTACTTGAAGATTTGTTAAAGGTTATTCAGAGCCTAGAAAAATTTTTACCCCCAAATGGAGTGCCCAGAGAGGGAGCATGGCCATTTTGCATCATAAAAGATGTGTCCCAGGCAGGAGAAGCTGAAAAGCCTAGGGAAGTCCTGGCAGATCCAGGTGCCAAGCTTGATACTTTAACTTGTGTAAGGTCCAAGGACTCAGAGGAAGAGACAGATAATAGTAAAAAGGAAAATGACCTAAAAATAAAAGTAGCTAAAACTGCCCCTCAGATTCCACTGTTAATACAAAAGGAAAAAAAAAATCTGTGCTGTAGCTAGGAAATATTCCTTACTAGAACTGTTAAAACTAGGAAAAACTTATAAGCGAGCAAGCAAGCAGAGAGCTCCTAGCCATGTGGCTTGTGAGAGTATGGGATATAGGAGCAAATGACCTCAGTCTAAGTCCTTCAGAAGCTTCACAGCTGAGTTATATAACCACCCATCCATCCTTAAGATATAGGCTGTTCAACATAGGCCAGTGCAGGGGGGAGCAGTCCTTAATGGGATGGCTGGTTGAAGGCATAAAAGATACATGATTGTCACCAAGGGAGATTAGCAGGGGCTGGAGGACTATAAAGAAGGGGCAGGCATTACTGAGAGAACTAGGTATGAAAAAAGCAATATATGATGTCCAGTTCACTGGGTCAGGTAAGACTGTGTTCACCAGAGATATGAAGGAATACCTAATTCAACTGGGACCTGGAGAATGGTATGTGGCTTTAATGGATTTACTGAGCCCTTTGAAGGGACAGGATCTTTGTAAAGTGAGAGAGGCTTTGGAAAATCTAAATAATTCTGACCAGCATGTAAAACATGTCTATAAAAAGAACATCCCATAAGAGATATAAAAAATACCAGACCAAAAAAATGGTCCATTTAGTTTATTCGAAGACAAATGTGGCAAGACTTATGACAAGCCCAAATTCCCAGAAAAAAAAAATGATAGAAAACCAAATTCAGTACTAAGATGTTTCTGGAAGGCTTTAAAACCAGAAGAACAGTTTACAAAAGACATTTAAAGGATAAAAACTGTACAAGGGGTGGTTAAGAATCCCCAATGATTACATAAGATGCATTTCTCTTCTGATAAAGGCTATACTAGGGGTGGAAGCAGGTTTTTCCACCAAGTTCTCCCCCAGCAAACTGGTGTCGTCAATGGGAAGATGACAGATATGGCTACAGTCAGGAGGCAGACCCAGGGCCTGCCTGACTCAGAGAACCAACAAGTGCAGCGGGGACAGGAGAAGCCCCCTGCCTCCTTAGCCCACTGCAGGATCAGGCAACTGGAGCCAACATCTGTAAGTGTATCAAGAATAAAAGAATACAAAGAGACCCTATGTCCAAAGGGATAACTAAAAATGGTAAAGAGCTAACCAAATTAATGCCTTGTACCCATGCTATGGTACCTAACAAGGATTTATGGAGAAAACAATCTATACTAATGGACAAAACCTTTCCATGCTGTGTGAGACCATGTCTATGATTGATTTATTGTATAATGTTAACCTTCCTTCGAGTGTTTTACCAATGTGAAACCCATTTGAAAGATACCGCAAGGCAAGCTATAGCTGTAAGATTCTTGGGAGTTTTATGTAGGTTGGATCAGATGAAGACAGACTCCCAAACTATACAACTGTTAAGAAAATCTACAGTGCCATGGGTGGGTTGGCCCCCTGTGAGCTGTTGGTCAGAAAGAGATCCTAGAGGTCCTCAAATTCACCAAGGCTATTGCCACTAATGTCAGTTGTACACTAGAAAGGTCAGTAAGGCCATGTCACTGAAGACACTGCATGTTGTGAGCACAGGAGAAGAAGAAGAGATGGAGCTGAGACCAAGCCAAAACAAACAAACAAACAAAAAACTCCATGCCACTGGATGGATGATGTTCAGATTGCCAGAAGGTGCTATGCAGATGGTTGGGGAAGAAAGGATCCCCTATGATTCTACTCAACTACTCAACAATGGACACCATGTGCTGCACACTATGGACATGCCAAGCAATGCCTGCACGTGCAATAACGTCTCGACCAACATACATACAACTGACAAATTTCTAATTGGATAAGGCCCACTCGTAGGGGTGGAACACACATCTGGTGCTGTAGACCAGGCCAACACCTTGTG